CCCCTATATGATAGTTATATATATATCTCGATTCCTAGACGTGACCCAGCGAAACGCCGGGACACGTATAACTTCTTTTTTAACGATATAACTTTCCCCGGTAGTTTGAACCCTTCCCGATCCCTGACCCCTACCATTTGTCTCACAGTGTTATTTAATATAGAAGCGACAAATAATTTTTATTTCCAACACAAAGAAGTAAACAAAGGACGATTTCAAAACGGCAAGCACCTTATAGTCCAGTTATGCATACTTGCACTGCTATACTATTTTTACGTAAAAATCAAAACCCAACATCATCTACATGTTAAGTGCTATGCGTTGGGTAACCGCTTACACATTCTGCCGCTTTTCATTGACGGTAAGTTTTGTAGCATCTTTGCAGCAGAGTCCGTGAGAAAAGCTCGACTTCGCTTCGTTCATTGTGAACACCAGCAGCTTCGTTTTGTTCCGCTTTGCTTCGCTCGGCGTCACTCGGCTTTCTGTGTGAACCCACCCTTAAATTGAAGCTTTTATGATTAAGCGAAGACATGGTAATGAATCGTAGGTAATGTACAGAGCTTCACTGAAATACATGTGTTCGGCATAAAAGCTTCATTCTTTAGTATGCCGAAACGAGTACACTAATATGATTCGGCGCTTAATGTGCGGAGTGCCTTAGAAAATTTGTTTGCTTCTCGAGGCATTGATGCATCCTTTGCAAGGACGAGTAATCAGCATTTGTGCTGCTGAGTTGGGCGAACGCTCCAAAAGCTGCTATTCAATCGCTTGTTTTGTATGGAAAAAGGTTTCACATGCAAATAGATTTTAACAAAACAAACGAGACACGATTTCTGTCAGTGAGACGATCTTCTAAAAGTCATTGTATCATGGAAACTACCTTATTTTTTTATCGTGGCTATACTTATGTACATTAGAGTGGTCCAATAAAATTTTTCCAAGATAGGGTTTGGAGCATCTTCCAAAATTGTTCCTTTTGCCGAAAGAGGTGTTTCTACCGAACCCTACGTTTCTACGTATATATTTAGAGGATGCTCATATTTTACTCTGGAAGTATTGTATACATATATTAATTAAATAATCGGTTAAGTAACATAAGAACATTTAAAATTTAAGTTATAAAATAAAATTATCACAAGCTTTAGTTGTCATGGCAACAGCACCTTTTTCTAAAAATTAACAAATATTTTTGCCAGTTTCACAGCGATCCAGTAGCGCATTTGAAGGTCATTGGGCACTCTCTACTGGTTGCAGTACAAAACTGGAAGCTGGCATAAATATTACAAATATTAAAAGAAAAAAATTAAGGGGTTGTCCCGTTTTCTAGGATGAAAAATTTTCCCCCATACAAAAATTGGACCACCTTAATGTACATATTGTAATTTTGGTAACGATTTCTGACTAACAGTAAGTGCTACTAATATGTAAAATAAAACCCGTTAAGAACCAGTTTCTTTGAAGTTGTCATTTTTGAATAACTCGTTTTTCGAACACCCAGGTACACTGCACTCGTTACCATGATTCAATAATGAACGGTTTTGTTAGTAGCAGCATTGCAGCGTTGGTCTTATTGGACCAAAATAGGCAGCTTCATTCTCCTTTGGTAGCTTGGTTGGTTTGACGTAACTTTTGGTAGACAAAAATGTTTTGAAAAAAAACAACCAAATTGAGCATTGCAATTTTTTTCACTTAATTTGCGTTTACACGTAAAAAACACTACTTTCACTTTGCTCACACGTATAAGATTTCTTTGTTTTTTCTATATTTTGTTAAGCAGACAATTTTCTGCAACACAAAAACTCACGTCCCAAAGCCATGACCGATTAGCTGTTGAAATAGAACGAGAAATTACTTATCGTCTTGAAAGAAAAATTTGTGATAGGCAATTTGCGAATTCTGAGTGTCTTGGTAAAACAGGGTGAGTGTATGCAAATTGAAACAAATTTTGAATTTTTTTTTTTATTGAAATGCGTAAAATGTCTGATTCTTTTTTTTTAACAAAAAAAAATATATGAATTGAATTAATATCAAAGGTATTTTCATTTTTTTACAAAATTTTTTTATACAATACGGTAATTCTTTTATTTAAAAGTCCGAATTTGTTTTGTTTAACCTTAAATATTGGTGTGAATTCTTAATAAAATACTGTAAACAATATTTTGTATAGTTTTAATTTTTACTGCTAATTTGAGTAGCTAAAAACCAAGCAAATTCAATAAATCTAGTTTTAATGATGAAAAAAATTTGTGTGGTTTGGAAACTGATTTGGTAGGCGTTTTGGTATTAAAAAATATTTTGAAGTGGCAACACTGGTAAGTAAGACTCTCTTTCGCTTTAATTGTATAAGCTGCACTCCCACCTTACTCTTAGAAACAAAAGCAGTGATATTTCGTTTCTATTAATAAGTAAATTATGACTCTTTGTGAAAATTTTATTCGTTAATTTAAATTGGTCATCAAGCTAATGAATGAAGCAAACAGCGTCGAATACAAAGAAGGCAATCAAAACAAAGGCCATTAAAATATAATAATATTAGGTAGTCGAAAAATAATTAGTAAATAAAAATGAGAGAAAGTAAGTCATTGAATGATAAGCCATAATACATATAGGCGAGCGAGAGCCACGTTTGACCAGTATACTTTGAATGGCAAACAAGTGTGGGTCGGTCAGCTCGCTTATCAATTCGAGTATTTTGCATTAGGGCTATTCGCGATCTGGTGCAAATGGCCTAGCATCATTGCATTGCAAATTTGTATTGCAAATTATTTGCAATACACAAACAAAATACACGCATTTGCATTTGTCATGGCTTGGCAAATTTGCAATACCGAAAATCCATAGCATAAAAATGCTATGCATTGCATTCATAAACAAAACCAAAGCTGATGCACAAAAATTGTTTTGCAAAAGCTTTGCCATGACAGTTTAATAAAGGTCGCTCACAATCCATGGCATATTTCTGCAATTGCATAAATTTGTCAGCTCTTATGCACCGAATCGCGAATAGCCCTA